TTGATTTTGTGTCCTACTACTTGGCTGAATTAATTTATTAGTTCTAGAAGATTTCTGGTGGAATTTTTTTTTGCATCTTCTAAATATAGAATTGTGCCATCAGCAAATAGTGATAGTTTGAGTTCTTCCTTTTCTATTCATAACCCTTGAATTTCTTTCTTCTGTCTATTGCTCTGGCCAGAGTTTCAAGGATGATATTGAATAGAAGTGGCATCCTTGGCTTGTTCCAGTTCTTAGAGGGAATGCTGTCAGTTTTTCTCTGTTGAGAATGATGTTGGTCTTGGGCTTAGCATATATAGCTTTTACAAAGTTGAGGTATATTCCTACTATCCCTATTTTTCTACTGTTTTGAACATGAAGGACTGCTGTATTTTGTCAAATGCTTTTTCTGCATCTATTGAGATGATGATCTGATTCTTGTCTTTAAGTCTGTTAATGTGATGATGAGTTACACTTATTGATTTCCATATATTAAACCATCCTTGCATCCCTAGGATGAACCCCACTTGATTGTGGTGCACTATCTTTTCAATACGTTTTTGTATGTAATTTGCCAGAATTTTATTGAGAATTTTTGCATCTGTGTTCATCAGGGATATTGGTCTGAAGTTTTCTTTCCTTAATGTATCTTTGTCTGATTTTGGTATCAGGGTGATAGTAGCCTCATAGAATGAGTTTGGAAGGGTTTCTTCCTTTTCTATTTCATGGAATAATTTGAGGAGTATTGGCGTTAATTCATCATTAACGGTCTTGTAGAACTCAGCTGAGAATCCATATGGTCATGGGTTTTCTTGATGGTAGGCTTTTGATGGTATCTTTGAATATTAACAGATGAGTATTTGCCAGCAGGGAAACATTTCTGAACAAAGTAAGGAGAAGCATATTTAAAGTTACAGAAGCATGAAACTAGTACATCTGAAGAAGCACAGTACTTTTTGGAACGGAGGATGAGAAGGAGACAAGAAGATAGCAGTGAGGCCAAACAGAAAGGCAGGAATTGTAGGAGACCCTGAGGTCAAGCTGAGAAATTTGAACCTTGTCTGTAAGTGATGAGAGTCATTAAAGGGTAGTGATTTGAATTTTGATTCTTGTGTACCACATCATTTAAAAATTGTGCTCCTGGGGCTGGGGTTGTGGCTCAGTGGTAGAGT